GGTTTATTTGTAAAAATATTTTTGATTACATCACAAGTACATTTTTCAATAATCTTTTTTATTTTGATTAATAAGATAATGGATAATAAAGATAATAGTTGCAAGCCTATCTTGATTAATAAGGGATGAAGTATTATTTCTAGGATGAAGGGAAAAACAAGTACGAAGATTATACCTAAATTACATCTAAATTATGACACTACATATAATTTTTTAAAAAAAAGGAATCATTTCTCTGACACTAGTAACCATAAAAGATCAATCAAAGATAAGTTTAAAGAGAAGGAAAAATCATTATATAAAAATCACATTCTATAAAAATGTAAATATTAATTTTATATACACTGACAATATATATACTAACATCCTTAAATGTACGTCACATACACAAAAAAAAATAAAATTTAAATTCAAATCAAAATTAAGTGACACGATTGACTAGCATAGACAAGATTAATCTATAAATTTTAATAGGTAGAAATGTAAGTTGTTGGAAGTTGGGGAGGGCGACCGCCTTGGTAGTCACCCTCTCCCTCCGCCACTGCCAGTACGTTGCTTTCCAACTATGCCAACAATATCAGCATTTACTATTGTTACTATTTGCTTCTGTTTAGTGACGTTGAAGAAGGCCATTGATGTTCCAATACGTTATTTGTCTTTTATTGGTCAAGTGATAACCTTCTTCCCCTTATTGTTGATATTTTTTTAATGAATTTTCTGCTATATTTTTTAATTTTTTATTATATATTACTTTTTTGAAACTATTATATTTATTTTTTACTCAGTTAATAGTTATTAGATTTTAAAAAAATAAAAAAATAATATTTATAAAGAAGAAATAATAATATAATAAAAAATAAAATAAAAAATAGCATTAAAAATGAGACAAAAGATCCGTTACATTGCGGTTACTTATTTACCCTGCCTCATCTTTGCATGATGCTTTTTAGTCCAACCAATAGTACCCTGTATCATATAGTTGTCTTCAAGCCTGGCCACAAAACTGAAAGAAGTGTACTTTTAGCAAGTTGGTCCTATTCTTTTTAGTCCTATTCTTGAGGAAGCACAACTGCCTTATTTTTTATTTTTGAGGTACAAGTTGGTCTGTCCTCTTTTGCAATGAAAATTCAACCTGAATATGTACTTTTAGTAGAAGAATCAGTGGACTTTGGTACCCATTTTTGAGGGATTCAATGGACAATATTTTCTCCCAGAGTGGCCCCAATTAGAATACTTATCCTGAGTCAATTCATGTCTTAAAGTAGGCAAGTTTTATATTTTCCCACTTAACATATTTGTGATATTTAGCAATGACAGAGCTAAAACTTGTTTCTATTGAGGCCACAACTTAAATAAAGAAATTGAAATTGCACTAGGATACGTATTTATGAAAATTATTTAAATTATCTAAAAAGATAGCACACACACACACCCATTTTTGAGGGATTCAATGGACAATATTTTCTCCTAGAGTGACCCCAATTAGAGTACCTATCGTGAGTCAATGGATGAGGCTCCTGAGCTATTCACGGCCAGGATTTGGCCCAAAAAAAATTATACGGTTCAGATAACTTCTTGTACCTCATTTTTAACAAGGTGTGTGGGGCTCACAAAAATTTGTTTTAAAGTTACACGTTGTGCAAACAAAATTACGCGCTATGCAAAATGTACAAAACCGCTAAGAACGGTTGCAGCCTTGCAGGTTCCTGCCCGTGGTCCTGAGTCAATTCATGTCTTAAAGTAGACAAGTTTTACGTTCTCCCACTTAACGCATTTGTGATATTAGCAATGACAAAGCGAAAACTTGTCTCTATTGAAGTCACAACTTAAATAAAGAAATTAAAATTGCACTAGGATACGTATTTATGAAACTTGTTTAAATTATCTAAAATGATAACACACACACAGATATATATATATATATAGTTATTATAAATATTACATTTTCTCTCGAATTATCACTGCCATAAATATATGGTGATGGTTTTACTATTTTCACATTATTAAAAAAGTAGGGTATTAATTGCATTAAACACCATGAACCTTTGGATTGGTTTCACTTTGCACCCTCCACTTTCTAAATGGGCACTTTACCCCGTATTTAATGTTTACTGACTAGAATGCCCTCCCAATCACATATTATGTTTACATCTACTATTTCTTAGTTCCTTTCCTTTTTGTTATTCTGTTTATTTTTCTTTTATTCCTTTTTCCTTTCATTTCCATTCTTCATGAAAACTCCCATGTCCCAGCGTCCATTATGTTAGATAATTGGATTTGATCAATCTTTTTTGTTTACGTTCACTTTAAACTTTTGTATAACTTTTTGTTTATGTATTTAAGGGTTTCAGCAATCTCATTAAAAAAACTAATACATTAATAGTTTCAAACAACAAACATCAAGGGAAAAACAAACTTGTTTCAATTCAACAGTGGACTGGTTTTCAAAAGTGGAGAAGAGTTAAGTTAGAATAGCCCAAGAAAAAATCACTAAATCCGTTTAAGTATACTGGACCAGTCGTTGATGGTAGTCTATTTTAAATGGTGAGTCTGATCAGTAGCTTCAATTAGGCCACTTTAGGCAAATGATTTAATACGTGCAAACCCTTAAATTATGAGTAATTCTTGATGGGAGTCAACTCATAAGTAAATCTCGTTCTACCGTCTAATATTAATTTAAGACGGCATAAACATATTGAATAAAATTATGAAAACTTTTCAAATGAGTTTGTTGTTGAAAGCACATGGAGAAAGGAGAAGACAAGAATATAGGTAAAGTTGAGCTTTTATTAGCCTGTTTTCATGCAATTGTGAGAGGTGTTCTTATCTGTTTGGATTGTAATTTTTCGTAGAAAAATTTTTGCGTTTTCACGTACATAAAATCGTTACAGTACATTTTTTATAAAAATTCCTAAAAGATAGCAATACAAACGGTCAGGTTGTTTCTCCCTCTAATTGTACTCAATCGTTGACAACAAACTGACAAACAAAGGATAATCTTAAACAATTATCTAGTTGAAAGATAGGGGGGGGAACATATTTTCTAACTATGACGACAAAAAGTTATAAATCTTCTGCATATAAATTCCACATTTTGGTGGGATCAGTGAGGCCCCATGCACCCCGGGTATCTGTCTGGTATCTGGTTCTTGCGCACTGGAAACTTCAAGGTTGAGGACATTTTGGTGTGGCCAGTGAGGCCCCATGCATCCAACCTAACCACACAAGAACAAAGTTTGGGCTGGAAATAGCAGTGAAAGACCACAATGGAAAACTCACATCGACATGGTCAATACCATTTCCAAGTGAAAGAGATGCTGATGGGATGTACTGGAGGCTGAACCAATCAGTGAAGCAGTGTGATAAAGGCAATGGAGGAACAGTAGCAGGCCTCAATATTGATCCGTTCTGATTGGAAATTGATAGTGGATAAGATTACTGCTGGATGCACGTACGGGTACTTCTCCTTTAGATGTTGTAGTTGATGACATCCAGCTTTTGAGCAACTCCTTTTGTTTGTCCATTCATTCATTTACCTTTATTGAAAGGGATGTAATCTTAGCTCAGTGACCATCAAGGTAGGTCTTAAGACCCTACTTGGATCGTAAGTGAGGATTTAAATCATACCTGTAGTAAAAAAAACTCAAGGATTGTGTCAAAACACTCACTTGATCTAGTAAGATCTGTGTATCTACTAATCCCTAACACAAAAACCTTTTTAGGCTCCCCTCCCCTCTAGTACCCCTCTAGTTTAAGATAGATAGGTTATACAATAGTTGTCGTTTTCAAAAAAAAAAAAATTGAAAGGGAATGTAATCCCATTGGTCACAAGTTGGCAAAGTTTGCTACTTACTAACCTTATTATTGATACTAAGTGGAAGGAAAATTTCCACTGTTTGGCTTGCAAAACGGCGCCATGGATCTTTTGTCTAACTGTCTGTTTCATTCCCTATTTCACTTCTTATTATATATTGTTATTTTTTGTTCATAAATATCATATTTTGATTCTTTTTTGTATTCTTAAACTTCAATAATTATTAACTGAGTAATACATAAAATTTAATCAAAATATGGAGAAAAATAAAATAAAAAGTGGAACAGAAGATCTGTTGGTGCGAGAAAAGAGTCACACAACGATTATGTTGCGACAGTTGCCAGCCGCAATTTCTCTTGTAATTAATCTCTGCTAATATATAGTAGCACAAAGTTGAGTTTTGACCCCAAAAGAAAAGAAAAAAAAAAAAAAAGAAGGTGAGGCCCCATGCAACCCCTGGTGGTTTGGAAATACACCTGCTGCTTGTTTGGTACCCTCGTACTCGTGCGCAGACATCACGGACCAGTAAGAGCAATTTGTGGTATTCCAAAAAAATTGCAATCCAAGTGGCATCTAAAATTTCTTTTTTTTTTTTTTTAAAAAAAAAAAGTGTGATACAAAGGCAATTATGCATACTAGAATTCGTTCTATGAGGATTTAACTATGGGTTAATTTTTTATACACTGGGGACATATATAATACTACTATTACGAATGATTAGTTACATACCACACATGTAAATTTTTAATTCAAATTTTGATTAATTGATATGTATCTAATCGATCATGATAGCATATATACTGTCAATATTGTCAACTAATCACTAAATGAAAAATGTTTCTTTCTTTTCTTTGCTGTAGGTTGACACAGTCAAAGTCATCACCTACTAAAAAAAATAAAGAAAAGAAAAAAATCAATCAAAGCTATTATTGTCAATGCACAGTTTTTTTTTATAATAAAAAGTTTGGATAGATTCAATTCTGACCATCATCATTGATATTTTTTGGGTCATAAATCATTTATAGAGGTTACCAAAATAATTTTTATATTAACAATAAAATTTGAATACACGATTTTTTTTTTTTAAAATGATTCGTTCTTGTCAATTGAGTCAACTTATGTTGGCTGACTACACAGTTGGGTAGTCTTCCCATAGCCTTGTATCTTTAATGGTGCGTTAAGAAATGGATAAAAATCCAGCTTTTGAGTAGCACACTGGAATTGTTTTGCATGGCCCCTGGTTTTGCATCCTTTGACTCCATCAAACAAGCAGTTTATGTATAAACAATTTGATACCTCTGTCATTTACACCATACAGCTGGGCTCCCAACCCATCATTCTTCACCTCCGGTACTTTAGCTATCCATGTCTTATCCCTATATTTTATTTGTTTACGAAACAAAAAGCGAAATAGTTTGTACTTTCTATATGTATATGGGATAGTTTTATTCTGTGAATACATAAGACATGGAATTCTCTGCATCTTTATAAGTTTTTTCTCAAGCTCCTGCATGAAAACTTACAGGAAGGGCAGTTCGAAAATTTCAGAAAACTAAAGCTGCATGAAAACTGTACCGAAGAAAGCAAAGAATAAGTCCAAGAAACAGAAGAAGAAAAGAGAAATGGCGAACGTTGTCCAAGAGTTGTACCAGACTTGCAGTGAAGTATTTGCAGATGGTGATCATCAAATTGCTGGGTATATTCCCCCAGCTCCTGATATTGAAAGGCTCAAGTCAGTTCTTGGTAAAATTTTTCTACTCCAGAGTTTCTATCCAAACTAGCCAGTCTTCTGTTGGAATTCACTAGATTTCTGTGTGTATATATATATATATATGTCATATATTGGCATGTTAGATTCATTCTCGTATGTTTGGAGTTGGATTTTTGGGTTTTGGGTCAGTGTCTTGCCTTGATCTGATAACTGAATTTTGCAGTAATTAAAGTTGCTTGAATTTCCATCCCCCCCTCTCTCTCTTGTTGCAAAATTTTTCTGCATAAGATAACGAGATAACGAGTGCGGTAACAAATGATGTAGATCGGCTCTTGTATGTGGAAGAAGAGAATCAAGAAACGAACTAGTTTAGTTGCGAAGATAAACAAGATGGATCGCTAGCACAAAAGTTTTACAACGGGCCTCATCATTTGCTAAGTTATTCTGGAAATAGTTTGATTCCGTCAAAACATGATTTGATTAATTCATCTTCAAAATTGCATAACATTTATACACCACATAATTTAGTTGGAAAGTAGAAGGTTGTATTAGTTTATAAAACGTTCTACTTTCCAACTAAATTATGTATAAAATGTTATATCTATTGAAGTAGGGGGGTTTATCCTCCTAGATGGAGATATGCATCATTTTAAGCATGGTCCTAGCTTACTAGTAGTACTTAGTTAATTGGTGCTTTTTTAACCTCTTTTTGCTTAGTTTTTGGGGGTTAATCATCTGGATTCTTTGCAATGCATGTTTCATTTATGTAGATAGAATGAAACCGGAGGATCTCAATCTTTCACCAAACATGCCAATGTTTAGAAGAAGTTCTACAGCCCAAGAAGCTTCCCATCCTCGGATAACCTATATTGAACTACATGAATGCGATCAGTTTTCGGTATATTTCTACATGCCCATTCTCTCTTTCTTTCTTTCTATCACCAAGCATACATACCGGGGGGAAAAAAATCATGCATACTGGAACTTGGAAGTACTGCAAAGTACCAAAATAGTCATTTCATTTGTATACTGTAAATTTTGCTTGGATTCTTGCAAAGTGGTACACAAATGTTTCAGGCATAATAGACCGAAAGCTTCATCACAAGAACGTACTGTTCAATGCAGCAGTTTACATTTGTCTGCTACTGCTGCAGATTGGGATCTTTTGCTTGCCACCATCTGCAGTCATTCCCCTTCATAATCATCCAAACATGACTGTCTTCAGCAAGCTCCTATTCGGGGCATTGCGAATCAAGTCATACGATTGGGTAGATGATGGCACGAGCAGCACGAGCAAGATAAATACCGGTGAAATCACACACAGTAAGTTGCAATTCATGCACTTACAGGTTTATAAATTTCTTGTTCACTACATTTAAGTTGGCAAGGGATTATCTGGAAGAATCAAACTCTGACGCAGCTAACACAATCCTTACTATCTTGTCTAATGATTCATTATCCTATTACGTGCGACAACTCTCATTGCATATGTTTTGAAGTCATCATGATCTTTGCAATCCAAATTACTAAATTTCTTCAGGCCTTGCATACTACTGATCTCAACTTGTTTCTTTCCCTGGTTGTAGGGCAGGATGGAATCCGCTTAGCTAAAGTCCATATGGATTCAGATGTCACCTCCCCATATAACGCCTCTGTACTTTTTCCTGCTGCAGGAGGCAATATGCACTGCTTCACAGCCCTTACTGCATGTGCAATACTGGATGTCTTAGGTCCACCCTATTCTGAATCTGAAGGCCGGCATTGTACTTTCTTTCAAGATTTCCCATATGATAAATTTTCAGGTAGGGAATTTGGGTTTTTTTTTTTTTTGGGTGTTTTTTTCTCTTTCCTCCTGAACTGGATGACTTGATTTTAGAGGGCAATCAATGGCTGCCATGCAATAATATTCTGAATTTTTTTCATTATCTGTGGTCTTTTTGACTTTAAGGTGGTGCAGAAGAATTGGTACCTACTGAAGAAGAAGTCACAAAGAAGTATGCTTGGCTTCAAGAAATAGAGAAGCCTGAGGATTATATTGATGGAGGACCGTCCTAAGGACAAAAATTATGGAAGACTAATAAGAAATTAAGCTTTGTATGTAGTGGGAATAATCTTTGTTTTTGCCTTATAGTTTTCTTGCTTCAATTCTAGACACAAGCATCCTTTGCTCATCTAATTGTGACTTTAATTAATAATTGATTTTCATTTTGTATAACAAAATCATTTTACGTATATTTAAAATATATATTTTTTTGGCTATGCAACAAAATCTTTAAGATGCTATCTTTAACTTTTGTGCATATGTGGAAGAACTTATTTGAATTTCATATGGATAATGAAAGTACGATATAGTGAGAATTTAAAAATGCTAGACTCCATATCACTTATTTTCTTCATGTTACTAAATTATTGCAATGAACACGAAAACTTTAAAATATTTTTATATTTTTGAATTAATTTAATATTAAATTTGAATTGCTTCAATAAGAACATCAATTTTTTAAAAGACAGAACATGTCAAAATTTCTCGTAGTTACACTAATAACATAGAAAAACCGAAAATTGATTTTGTAGGTACAAATATTAACATAGACAATACATCTTTTATATTTTTTTTGGTCAAAAAGAAAAAGCGTTTCTTTTTTTTCTTTAAAAATAAAGAAACCAGGGTAGTTCAGTTAATTCTGTACATATTTTATTCCATCCTGATATATAAAAATTGATTTACCAAACATTCCAATTTTTATCTTGATTTGGTATATATAAATAAATTTTTTCTAACGAGTGCTCAGTTAACATATCTAACATTCAGCTAACCTAGAATGTATATATATATATATTAACAATTATTGCTTTCACTTTCATTTATATATTTTTTATTTAATCTTACCTACTCTCTCTTGTATTTATTTATTTTTTCTAATTAATTTTATATTTTTAAAAATCTGACACCTGAAATATATCTTGACGAGTGCCCTACGTGTATTCGTCCTACAAACTGCATAAATATTATAGAATGAGAAAAACTTCCAAATTTAACAATTCAATTCCACGCATTCCTATGCGCCCCTCTCTCCTCTCCCTATCGGAATGCTCAATCCAATCTTTTTCCAAAGAACTCTACCCCTCAATAAATTTTACAAGGAAGTCCTTTCTAGCTTTCTCTTAGAGTCACCCAAATAATCAAGGGTAATTTTATCCTCGTACATAGCTTCACTCCACCAATGTTTATACTATTTGTGAGCGTATACTATTATTTGTGATTTTTTTTATAACTAATAATTGCAGTTATGTTTTTTAAAAAATTATTATCCTTTTTTCTATTTTTCTAACTTTTGTGCAAATTTGTTTATTTTTTTTTCTATAATATAACTCACAACAAATAAGTCAAACTTGTACATACTATATATTTTATTCTATCTGAACATCTGAATATTGATTAAACCAAATGTTTGGAAAACTAATAGACATTTCATTCTAACCTGGTTACCAATCACTAGAATTACATATTTTTTTTCTGTTTTTAGAGGAAAAATATTTTGGGTGGAAGTACCAAAAGTAGTTAATACTAGAACAAAATAACAAAAGCTACATTCTTTGTGCCTGCAAAAATTTTTTTTTCAAATTACTCAAGTTAGTGGTGTTATTGGAGACTTCATTAGATTTGTACTCATTATGAGTGTCTTATGATTTGTATTTTCTATTTTTTTAAGAGGATGATGCCATTTCATCTTTATTGTGTGGGTTAAAAAGAAAACTCATAAATGTAATAACAAAATTTAACACCACAAGTCTTTTTTTTTTTTTTTTTATAGAATGATAGAAAGATTGTCCATCTTTTGCACCAAAAAAAAAACAAAAAAGAAAGAAAATTCACGACGAATTTTTTTATATAGATTTTTTGGTGTGTTTAATGATAAAAAAAAAAGAAAGTCAAAGTTTTTCTCCTACTGTACTTGGCATCCCGGGAACAGCCGTACCATTCATTTGCCCCTGTTCCTACATGTCCACGGCCACACTGAGTTATCTTCCCACCCTGGTGGGCAGTTATTGTTCGCCACCTTTCTCCCGCCACTAGATGAGTCTTCTGGCTGTTCCAATACACGTATTTATCCTTGTGATCATAATAAAAACGAGCTTGAGAGCCAGCTTGTTGGTAGGGAAACTCGTGCTTTCACGGCCCTAGTCATGTAGAGGGCACTAGAATAGGGTTGACAATTTTCGACACGATCTGAATGAATTTGGATTGAAAACATGACACGAACTTAACACGAAATGAATGAATTTGGATTGAAACTTCACGGATTCGAGTCAGAATCGAGTCATGTAGAGGGCACTGGGGCGCAGTTGGTCAGTCGTATTGCAGTATCTTGCCTTGAGGAATATGCTGCACCATTAGAGAGTTTGTTCACTGCAGGTGATCATTCGAATGTACCTGCATCAAGTATTACCTCTTTTTTTTTTTGGGATGTTCTGTTATGGCTTCAAGTAACTGAACCGAGCTATACATCTGATCAGCTTGAAAATCTAAAATCCCTTTTTTGCCTTTGAAGCAAGAGTGTTCGGTACTGATGCATGAAAACATGGTCAAAGCAAATGTCAAAAGTAACTGCAGCAGGATATGTCATATCTAAGCCATAGAAACACAACTGGACTACATTGTGTGATCTATGAATTCTGCAATTTATTCCCAAACCAGCATAGCCAAATAAACAGATCAAGACTCGAGGGAAAATTTTTCTTCTCCATAACTATTGCATTTTGTCTTAAAAGGTCACCACACCACATAATCACTTGCTAATACTCGACATTTGGCATTTGAGACAGAGTGATCCTCAAGTAGAACGAGGAATCTGCCAATTCCGTGCTATCGGGCCAACATCATAGATAATTTCCCTATGGCAAGACCAGACGAGCTTTATTGCTTCCGGTGTCCCTATGCCTGCCCCTCTTGGATCTCCAGCAGGACCAAACCTGCAGTTAGCAACCATTTTAGCATATGAAAGAACTAGAACGGAGCTTTAATGCATATAAGCAACTGTAGTATTTCACTGTACAGTTTCCGCTTACCAATGATTTTGTGGAGCCCCTGTGGTTCTTGCTCTCAATCCGACATAAGTGGTTCCATTCACAGACTTTCCAATCACTTCCTGCAATAGAGGTTATATTATAGTATTCATCTTTTATATGCAAATGTAAGATCAACAGGAATTCAACAAAATTGCATTCCAGTTGGTTCAGTATGCTATTCCTAGCAATTGACGCCATTATATATAGTCAAGATTCAGATAGACACTTTTAACAATGCATAATTTTTCCGGGATTGAATAGACAAATGTGAAAAATTTTTATAGGAACGTGGTAAAAATTGACTGAAACAACCTACTGGAAGTAAAATGGACCCTGTTAAAATTTTTCAGCGGTAATAGTTCTAAAGCATGCCTAGGCTTTTATGACTAAACGTGCAACTGCAGCAATCTTTCTCCCACTCTTGTGGTCCTACATTGATGGGATATCTATGCCTATTGACCATTAGTTAACAATTTTGAAGATACTTCTGCTCAGCTGATTTTGAGGATTCGCTTGAATCCATGTAACGCAGGCTCTTTGCGTCAACCAAAGCACAACTTTTGCAGCACTCTGCAAGTTCAGAATCCATCCACATCACCATGAAAGGTGCTGACCCGAAACACCTATTTGTAACTTTTGACCGTTTCCATTTCTCATCAAATTTAGGTTAACAAGAAAATACACATGCTCTTTGATCAAGGGATTATAATATTTACGTCAGACAAACAAGTTTAATTTACATTTTGGTTAACAAGAAAATGCACTTTTTCTTTGATCAAGGGGTTATAATATTTACAGGAGACTCTAAAACATCTAAATAAGTTTAATTTACATTTGGTTTGTTCCTTACACATCGAATCCCCATCAGCATTACTGATTCTGAAAGCAAACGCATAATGCAGACTGTTCCCTTGATTCAATGATAGAACAGTAAAAATACAGAATATGTGGGTTTATATGCAAGCTTGAGGCACCTTTCTCTACTCTTTCTCCTAGTTTCATTTTCCAACCAAAAAATATGAACTTTCCAAACATGTGACTCTAACAAGCCCAACCTGTGTCCAGAGTTTGACTTATATAATGGCTTCCATGAGGATAAATATGCTCTGTACATGTCCAAATGCATAGGATGACAATTTTCTTCTCAAGTATGTGTGACCGACCATATCCACCACATTGGGTTCAAACTTTTTGCAAACATTAATTTCCATGACAACACAAGTTTAACAGAATTGAGCGCAACCTACATCAGATATCGATCTCGCATCAATTTTATTAAATTATGTTCCTATTCATTTCCCCCAGGTCATAAAAGAAAGAAGTCAATTAAAGTCCAACTTGAGGAAATCTCGGCTTAAAGGTAATTTTCCCCATGTCTCAATACCAAAATCTATGCTATTAGCTATTTAGATCAAGCACTTCAAAATACCGTTGACAACCATTGCAGCCCAGTATCGAAATCTCAATTCATACATGATTTGCATAATCAGGAAATAAAAAATATTGATTTTTGTGGAACAGATGAAACAGTTGATGAGATAGGGAACAAAGATGTTAATGATAGACATTTGTTTTTAAAGGAAAACACAACTTGAACATTAAAAAGGCAACCAACAAAAAGTTGAAACTTACTTGTAGGAAGAGCACATCATTTGAAACCACTGCAGCTGTTAAATGTGCATGCATTTTTTCAAGGGCATTCAATACCATTGGGAGCTGATTATCTTTGTATTCAGTAACAATCTGAAATAAAATATCACACAAATGATCATATCTATCAGTGACAGGGAACGGTCACATAAAAGAACAAGTCATATTCAAACTTTTTCCAGATCTCAATCAGAAAGCTTAGTTGGTAAGTACAAGATGCTATTTGTTTGTCATATTTATTACCTGGAATGGACCAAAAATTTCTTTTGTCACCAATTCATAATTGTCGTCCTTAAGTATTTCCTCAAGAGGAACAAACACTGCAGTTGGTTCAATTGCTCCATATATTGCAGGAATAGAATGGTTTGTTAATGCTTTACCACCAAAAAGTAACTTTGATCCTGGTATCTTAAGCAATTTGTTCTTGTGAAGCAACAATGCTTCTGTATTAACCTGCAAAGAATAAAAGGAAATGAGATGATGACATTTAACAATGGCTC